AGAACGCAAGCAGGCTACCTACTCGGCCACCGGGTAGCTGATCAGACCGTTTTTCATTTTCCATTTACATGGTATCACGCAATCTATATTTGCGGACCACATACCTCGCTCATTTCAGCACTACCTGAACTGAAAAGCTAGGAAGCACTGCACAGGTGTTTCGGCCCGGTCGCGAAGCCCACAAAAAGCTCGAAAAGATGGGTTGTGCTATATCGTGTAAATGAAAAATGAAAAACGGTTTGATCAGCTATTCGGTGGCCGAGTTGGTAGCATGCTTGTGTTCTGTTTATGAGGTCCCAGGTTCGACCCCCAGTTGATTCGATGGATCCGCACTGCTGATGAGACCCAACCAGGTAGAAACGGCCGTCCCGTGCTTCCCAGCTTTTCATTACAAGCTCCATTTGTTACATAAACGACGAATTTCCCCTCTGACATTGAATCAAATCCTCCATCACTCTCTTATCTTCGGTGTCAGACAGAGGGTTAATGAGCGAAGCGTTTAAATTTGTTCCCATTCAAAACAAGGAAGATGCGATAATATTTTTATTCAAAACTAGGTATATTTACATTGCATGAGACAGGGAACTGTCGGAGATTGCAAGATTTTCGTAATCACTCGCTTTGGAAGTCATGGACCGTGGGCTTTTGACGCTGTTGTTTTGTGAAAGACACTATTTTTTTCTCGCGCAAACGATTCTCGTTTCGAGCAACTAACCTGCAATCAAAAATAAAAAGTGAAGTACATGAATTGTATCTGGGTTCTTTTAGATGGTGGTGATGGTGGTTTGGACGGTCAACAAGCTACCAATTTAGATGAAAATATCAATCAGAAGGAACAATGACGGGAAGAAAGCGGTATGGGTCGATGACAGAATGATTCGAGTTCGAAACTGACCTGCGACCAATCGCTTCCAAAGTATCTGGATCGACGATTGGTTTTTTGGTCGCGTTTAAACACTCCCGAACCATTCGGCGTATGCGTTCCATACAGTCTGCCTGATTGAGGATCTGTTTTCTAGTCCGATCAGAACTAATAACAAAATACTGATCTTTGGTGATTCGATGTGCTTCCTTCAGAGTACACGAAGGCGAAAATCACTGTCTGGAGAAAATGCAAAACTTACTCGCTCAAAAATTTGCTGCTTAGCGGCGTCCGGAATCCATGAGGCAGAAGGCACGTGAAATCTGATTTCCACCTTCGATTTGGCTGGAACAATCACGTAATGAAGGACAACAATAACAAGTGGCCTACTTTTGTTCACGTGCTGACCACCAGGTCCACTGGAGTACGAGTAAGAGATCTGAAGGGAATCTTTTTTATTTGGAGTATGGGGTCAAATAAATTCGAGATGAGATACCGATTGGGATGTGGCCCAGAAATTCCTCTGTATTCTGAAATTTTCTAGGTAGGGGGATAAGAGATAAAAACAAACTTTGGATTGTTGGGTGCCATTATTCGGTAACTGGGATGGTTTGTCCTCAGTCGGTTGGACCGGGGAGTTCGCTGTGGACGACATACTGCGATAAGATCCAGTTAATCGATTGCATGATAGAAACGACGGACGGAAAACAAATCCACGAAGATACTGCATTTACAAGTAATAGTTATGAGTACGATTCGAATACTCTCCGAACTTGGTGCTGTGCAAGTAAAAATGTTCAACGAAATAGATGACTAGAACCAATGACCAATAATAATGCACATCAAGGTTTTGTTTGTGAAAATGTACAATTGTTCATAACGCAAATAGACGAGGAACCACATGAGGAACAAAGATATGATGTACTGCGGGAAAACCGCAAAATGAACGTTAAACCATTGAACATAGAACAAAGTGTTACATTTGTCTAATGGCATTTTATTCGTCCTTGGATAGTAAAAATGCTTTGATATTTCTTTAGGTATCATTTTAAGCAAATGTAGCTAAAAACGTTGATAGGGAATTAGTATTTGAAAGAGGCAGTGGGGAAAAACATGGAAGCCAACAGAAAATGGTTGAGACTAATTGAAAGCCACTGCTTTTCGAATCATCGTACAGTAGAACCAACTTCGCACTTTACCGTTAAGCTCATGTGTGTAGAGTAAAAAAGCTGATTAGAGAATCGATGTGTTTCCGGCGAGGGATAACAGCTATCAACATAAGGTGAACAATGTAACTATGTAGACACACATCTTAAAGCGTTTCGGTCTGATAATAAATTGCAATGCCACTTCTGTTGGTTTGCTACCTTGTCCTTCATTGTTCCTAATCGTCCTTTGAGGCTAAGCCTGGAAGACTTGACTTTCCGGCGCATTTTTTATGCCTCCTCTCCTCTTCAATTGCGGACCTTAGAACATCCGTTGTAAATGGGGCCGGATGCGGTAGATATCTGCTAAGGAGGTGCCGATACGTGTCATAACAAGCGAGGTTTACTCAGTCAAATTCGGTGGGCCACTGCATTTTCCTCCCTTAAACTCCAAACCGTCAACTAAAAAAGAGCTTTGAGGACAGTGAAAACTAGTGGACCAAATAGACAGAGAAACGAAATAGGCCGCTGCCTCAAGGAAAAGTCGAAGTCTGTTCTAGGTGACAACCAACAATGAAGGTCCGTAGATCTTGGTCAGTAACAAAATCGAAATGACCATTCACAAGGTCATCAGCCGACTAGTGGAGTGTATTCCGACTTTCAATGATTCGGGCTCCACAATTCATCTTATTGTCCATGTGAAACTCTGGTTGCGCATAAACAGTGCCAGGAGGGTGTTCTTGAATCTGCACACAACTCCCTGGGCTCGCAATA